GCCTCTCACCAGACATCCTGCCAAGCAAGGGATGCTCAAGTGCAGATGCCATGCCCTGGTTAACACAGGCTGTGGCCGGCACTCCCTTGTCCCTTTCAGCATATTGACTTCACTGGGTCCCTCCCATGCAGCCAGCACCTTCTGCTGTGCAGAAGCAGACACACAACCCCGCACTTCCATTGACTCTTCCAACCCAAGACGCTTGGTGTAGCAGGTACTCTCTTGCTGTGACATTTGTTCTGTGAAATTTCCCTCTCGGAAACCTCCCAACATCATTGATCAAGATCTAGGTTCCCACTTCAAGGCAGCAGTGGTGACATAGGAATGGGCACCACAGCATGAGAGTTTAGGGGACTCTCACTGGGCCCATTTCCCCCAAGCCACCAGCCTCCTCAAGCAGCACAGTGGCCTCCTAAGTATTGAAGTTGTGGCATGGGCTATGAAACCCCAAGGGGATCAAGTTCCTTTTGAGAGTCCTAACTTTCTTAACTCTCTACCCTGTGGCCACCAGTGCCTCATCACAATTAGGCCAGGCCCATCATGGTGAGCACTTTGGTAATCACAGAAGAGTCAGGTTATTTTTCCCTTAGAGATAGTATCATTCACATTTGCTCCAATAATGAGAACTCCTCGTACTGTGGTAAGAGGTCCATCATCTCAACATCAAACGTTTACTGGACAACAGATTGTGGATGGATAGTAAGCTATGATCCGCTAAGGACTGATGGCCCAGGCCCACTGGCACCCAGCAGGGCCACAGTGCTTCAGCAACACCACACCTCCCATCTTGATGTGCAGCTTCCAGCAGAAGTTCCAGTTCTTACTACTTTGAAAAGTAGCTAATGTCTCCCACTCACCCCTCCCTGGAGGTAGTAGGGATTATTGCTCCAAGACCAAGAAAGGGCACAGATTGAGTCACTAAACAAAGAGAAGCCTTCAGACTAGTGGGCATAGTCTACATTAGCTGGTGATCACATGGAAGTATCATTCCCAAGTGTAGCCTGTGTTGATGGTGGAGAAAGACTCTGAAGAAATGTTGGTGAAAGCTAACCCCATAATCGATGTCAATATCGGAGCCCTGAGTGATAAGATGCCAGTGCTCTTTATGGTCGATTGTTTGGTATGTTATGTACCCATGGCTTGTGGAGCTACTGTCAGACTCAGGATCCGAAGCCCAAAAGTTGCTAGAACAGGACTGCCCTGGTCATAACTTGTACTCCAGACTGGAAAGGTGGGAAGTGCTGGAATCCCATGCTAGAGGGGCTGTGCCTCAAATGCCACCTGACCTCCGTCCAAGGCAGGCAACTCAATCCTTAGATATTGAATGGGTCCAATGGCATAAAGCTTAAACACCAGCAGCCTTCATAATCACAAATAACATTTTAAAGACCAGCAGGTGGCTCATGCCTGTACTCCCAGCATTTTGGGAGGCTAAGGCGGGCGGACCACCTGAGGTCAGGAGTTCAAGACGAGCCTGACCAACATGGAGAAACCCAGTCTCTACTAAAAATACAAAATTAGCTGGGAATGGTGGTGCATGCTTGTAATCTCAGCTACTCAGGATGCTGAAACAGGAGAATCGCTTGAACCCGGGAGGCAGAGATTGCGATGAGCCGAGATCGCACCATTGTACTCCAGCCTGGGCAACAAGAGTGAAACTCCGTCTAAAAGAAAAAAAAAAAAAAAAAGACCAGCAGGTGGCCCTCCCAATGCCAGGTGTGAATTCAAACTAGCTAACAACGCCACAGCACAGCACAAACCCAGACTGCAGCTTGCACATTGGAGCCCCACGTGCAGAGACAGCTTCCAAAATCATCACAGGCTCAAGGATATGTACATGCTCTGATGTATAAGAGTTGTGGACGGAAACGTCCTACACCACTAAGGAAAACACGGCTCAACCTTCTCTGAATGCTTCCCTGAAGACCCACAGGGCTAACAGCCTGTGCAACAGCAGCAGTAAAGCAAATGCCCAGACCCCCACTTCCCTTCGTGGGTGGCCACCTGGGAAGGCCACCCCTATGGCAATGGCCATGGCTTCAGATGACAGCGCCCCTGCCCAAGGAGTTGTCAAGGGAGGCAATGGCCTCACTGGAATTAGAGACACCAAAGAAACTCGCCTTGACTGTGGGATCACCAGCAAAGCAACCTCTCCTTACTACTATAGGATACTCCTTACTCCTTACTGCTACACTCCCTACCCCAGCACATGACGCTGGTGTATGACACATACTCTGACCCTTGCCATACCACTTCCTTAGCTCAGGCTTTGTTGAGTACTCTGCAGATGACCCAATACAATGGTATTTTGTGAGATCACCATTTGTCTTCAGAGTAACCCCATTAGCTATATCTCCAACAGCAAGGAAACCAAAGGAACTAGGTCAGATCGTGCAGCTGCCCTACAAGTTAGCCAAAAACTATGGGCTTCTGAGATGTGTGTGCTAACAACACCACACCCAAATCTAACCAGCTCTCCCAATAATAGTTCTCTCGTGTGTTACTGAGAAAATGCCTGTGGATTGGAGTGTTCTGTGTGCAGAAGGCTGGTCCAGGTTTGACTTCTGCAGGACACTGGATGTTCCCACAACCATGGGACCTTCCCCACATACACGCCCACCCCTTCTCATTTTCTGTCTATACCCACATCCACTGGGCCCTCACAGGGCACCTACTAATGCCCAAAACCTAAAACCATCTCCTAGTCCCAGTTCCCCAAAGAGCCCTAATTTGTTCCTCTGCTGGGATGAAACCAGAGCCACTTCCTCAAATGGTGAAATTCCTGGGCCTGCTAGAGATCAGGAACTCACTACTTCCTCAGAGTGACAGCGACCCCACTGCTCTGGAACAGCAATCATCCCTAACAAGACCTGAGACACCTCATCCCACCTTAAGATTACTTAAAACACTTTCACTCTTACTCCTAGACAATTATTTAGCCTCAAAGTATCTAATTGCCAAGCAGGAGACAACTATACCCTCTAGGGCACCCCGTGCTTCCTGCACTTGCTTAACTCAGGAGAGTCCAGCAAAACCTGACCTGCTTAGCAAGACAAGCCCAGGTGGTATTCAGTCTCACCCAGGTGTTCACCAACATCTCGGCTTGGCTGAATGGCTTTGATGTGTATTGTAGACCCCAGGGCCTGCACAGGCTGATTGAAAACAAAATCCCAAACCCTCCTCAGTGTGAAGGTTAGCACTTTTTTCCTAGTCTCCTTACAGAGTGTATACTACAGTACACAAGCTGTCCTTTCCTGGTGGCTTTAAATATTCCCTCGGTCCAGGTAGTTCAGCCTCAGCCACCAGCATAGGCACTGTGGGCTCAATTGTCTAGGAGTCATGGAGAATCCATAGTTGGTTGCTACTTGGACCTGGCCAGGGCTGATCAAGGTAAATGAGAGGTCCTTCTGTGGATGCCTGTTTGAACCCAAGCTTCACACCAAATTTCTCAACTGTCCTTGTCACCAGAGTTATTTAATGTACCCAACAGAAAATAATCCTGGAAATTAGGACACCTGAGCCCCAAAGACCTATAAACAGGGGAAGTCTTCTCTGGGATGTGCACAGCTGCTCTTGCTGCATAAGACCCGGAACACAGGACTGCTGTCTGCCCTCTCTGGTCGCCCTGCCTAGCCTGAGGATCTGTAAGTAACACAAAATTTAAACTTTCACATTGAGGTTTCAACATTGAACCTGTGCCCCCAATCTGAACTGTGACTCCCGGGCCACCCCAGAGGGACCCAGCGGGTGAATCCCCTGCTGTGAACATCTGTCTGAATCTCTGGTGGCTGCTGGGGGCATTGGCTACCCAGCTAAGTTAACAGAGAAACTCAAGCAGTTTCCTTCTAAACACACGTGTCCTACTTGGTATGTCCAATAAAGATGATCATAGCTCTTTAGAACATTCTTTTGAGAGAAGTCTATTCAGGTCATTGGTCTGTTTTCCAATCAGGGCAATTTTTATTTATTTTATTTTTTTTTTGCTATTGAGTTGTTTGACTTCCTTATGTATTCAGATATTTACCCTTTCTATCATGTAGCGTTTGCAAATATTTTCTCTCATTTTCTGGGTTGCCTTTTCACTCAGGTGATTGTTTCTTTTGCTATGCAGATGCATTAGCGTTCAATGCATCTCCACTTGTCTCTTTTCCCCCTTGTTGCCTGTGCCTTTGGTGTCATAGCCAAGAAATCATTACCCACAGCAACACCAAAGCTTTATCTTCATCTGTTCCTCTCATCATTTTATGGTTTCAGGTCTATGCTTAGGTCTTCTAATCATTCTGACTTGATTTTTCTACATGATATAAGATAAAGGTCCAAATTTATATATATATCAACTCATAAGGTAGTATACATTACACATATATAATTTTTGTCACTCACACCTAAATAGAGATGGAAATAATACACATTTTTAGCCTTAGACGACTGTTTATATCACTGAGCTTGTTTTACCTGTAGCCTGGTGAGGTCATTGTCCTCTCTACCCTGGCCCCTACAGGAGACTCCTCACCCCATAACCTCAAAAACCCCTTCATGAGGGTGATAATGACTTCAAAGCCTGCAATGAAAAACCACTGGGTCCAGGTCTAGACTTCCAGTGAAGAGTAGAGCCCATCTTCACAAAGTAAGAGGCATTTGTTCCCTGAATTCATTGAATGAAAGCACTCTTTCTTTTCATAGTGTAAGAGAAAATATTTAGGCAGCTGAAAGCAGGAAAACATGGCAGGGTCCTCAACAACATCATCAACACCAACCTGGCACAGACACTCAACATAGAGATGCATGCTAGAACGAAAGCTGGGAGAGCAGAGAAGGAAAGGAGGGACATTGAGGCCAATGGATACCCACACCCTCTCCAAAGAAATGTCCACCTCCTCTGACTGAGAAGGTTCAAGAAGGTTTCTTGTCTCTGAGTGTTCTCCCAGCTATAACTCTAGGCAGGCTCCTCCCTCCCCACACATCTGCTCCTGCTCTCCCTCCTCCAGGTGACCCCAGCCATGAGGACCCTTGCTCTCCTTGCTGCCATTCTCCTGGTGGCCCTGCAGGCTCAGGCGGAGTCACTCCAGGCAAGAGCTGCAGCCCAGGAGCAGCCTGGAGCAGATGATCAGGAAGTGGTTGACTCCTTTGCATGGGACAAAAGTGCCACTCTTCAGGTTTCAGGTGAGAGAGGCCAGTATGCAGAGCTGCAGAGTCTAGAGGGACAGATGGGAGATAGAGTCTGGAATGGAGTCTCAATGGCCCATGTCACTTAGGTGACTTCACTTAGCATCTCTGAGCCTTGATTTTCTCATCTATAAATTGAGTAGAGAGTCAAATAAATCTAAGAGATTTTCTTCTCCCAAAACTTCAATCCAAGATATGTCTGTGAAATTCACTATGTTTAAAATACAGAGAGACATACTAACTAGTTCGTTCTGGATCTAAACAAGTAGACTTAACTATTGGGAGAATATTTTACTCTGTCTATAGAGAATCTTTTAAAGACTGAGGATGGGCCTAACAGTGTGTTCAGGTGTGTGTGGGTGATGGGGCCGGAGCACAAAAATCAAAGCAAATGAGAGTGAGTCTCAAATCCTGTGAGACCAGCACTGCTCTGTGTATTTATTCCTATTGACGGAGGTTGTTCATGCTACCGGCCCTAATGCAGCCAACATCACCCATCAGTCAGCATGTGACTTCTCCAAGATTCCCTTTACCACCCACTGTTGATCTTGGTGCTCAATTTCAGATGCTCTCTCTGTGTCTGTAGGTTCAACGAGGGGCTTGCCCTGCACCTGCAGACGAGACTCCTGCCGTCCTGGAGAACAGCGAAGAGGGACTTGCAGTGCTCCTGGAGTACGCTACCCGTACTGCTGCCACTGAGCTTGCGGAAGAGAGAAAAACGAGCTCATAATTTGCCTTCAGAGCTCCAGGGAATTGCTGTTACTTCTATACCTGGTCCTCAGTTTCCTTTCCTCATCCCAAATAAATGCCTTCTGATAAGACTTCTGTGTTTACACCTCTTTAACGTGTGATATGTTTCTGTGTCAACACATTTGGGATACACGTACCAGAAATCTAAATAAAATTTTTGAACAAACTAAAATTCAAATTTTTAGAAATTTCAAGCAGGAATTTGAGCTTCAAACCTCAGTTGAAATGAAGGTCCAGTGTCACCACCGATCTCCCCATCCACTGCTCTGCCTTTTCACTCTGCCTCATTTTCATCGGATCCATTGTGTGCTGGGCAAACACTCAGGGTCAGCTTAAAGTTTATGCAGTCACAGAATTGTTACTTCTCCAGGAAAACCAGCATCGTCTGTGCTAAAGAATTGGAGTTTTATTGAACGTGTCCAGGTCACACATTTGCCTTTTAAGACATAGGGTTACAGGAGATCCACTGAAACAACTTTAATTAAGAGGGAAATGGGTTGTTAGCAAAGGCGGGATGCATGGAACAGAAAGCACAGCAGCCCACACCAGGATGTCCTCATTTAGAACACCCTCCAGCCACGTCTACTAAGACCTGGATTTCACTCCCATAAGGTTGTCTTCACACCCAGAAAACCCACACGCACAAATGCTCCACTGCATTTTGCAACGTGCACTCTCTTGGGTTGCCTTAAAGCCGCTGAGAACCTGATTCTACTTGGAAAATACAACTTCGGAGGGGAAAAGAGAAGAGAGGAAATAAATTTCATCAGGACCTTGGCGGCCCTGTTGTTGCTGCAGGGAACTGAGGCTCTGATACCCAAAACATTCAGCACATCACTGAGTGAGCAAGAAACCAAGTCTGGGGAAAGGGAATGAACCAGGAGCGCCCTCTGAGATGCTCAGAGCATTTGCCGGGAAGGCCACAGCGCCCCCTGCTGTCCTGCCTCCTACTGCAGCCTCCCCACCAGGCACAGCACACCTAGGATCTGCACCTCCCCGAACCCGGCCTCCCCCCCCCCCCCAAAAAGAAAAGGGCAACACCCAAACCCGGGGGCCCCGAAGACCAAGCCGAAAACCTGCCGGGAAAAGACCTTTCCTCCTGTCTGTTCTCCCTTTCCCTTCCCTGATTCCCATTGACCCTTGAACCCTTGTCCAATAAGTCCTACAAATGGCCTTTCAGGACATGACCACTTTCAGTAATCCAGCGTGAGCCCCTCGTATTTTCTCTGCATCTGGTAGTTGTAGTTGGCGAATTTAAAACACACGTTTGAAAAAGAAACTATATTCAAGCCATGGCTACTCGTAGTGGGTGGGTCACTGGTAAAATGACGCAAGGAGTTTGAGTGGGACAGAGAGGTTACAGGCTTCAATAAAGGAACGTGTCTCTAGTGGGTTATTCACCATTACAGGCTAAGACATCTCACGGCCCACACACCGCTGTGACCACCAACATCAACCACAAATGCCCAGAGCCCAGGAGAAGGGAGCAGGTGTTCCCCACGTCCACCCCATGCAGATTCTAAGCATGTTTAGCCCCACATTGAGGCTCTGCCTGTCTGAAGAGGCAGCTCAGGGGTCCACACACCCCACTGAGATGCTGCACAGCTAGAGAACCCAATATAGATCCGAGGGAGGACACAGTGGGTCTGACAGAGAAATGGTCCCGGCTCTTCCCCTTGTTTAGACAGTGACAGTGATGGACCCAATAGGATTCAGGGTGTGAAGACTGTGCACCCTTCTTTGGTTTCTGGTTCACTATCACTGATTCAAAGTCCTCCGGTCATGAACTAACTCTGTCATGTGGGTCTAAACTGTCACGTGGACCAGGCTGACTCCATCTCAGGGCATCTGCACTTCACCAAGAATTCCGCCTGGCTTGCTCCCTAGCTCCGGGGTCTCAGCTAAAACGTCACTTTGTCACTGTGTTCTTCCTCAATTTGTCACTTTTAAATTGCAACAAGTTCCCCCTGGTGACCTCCATCCCTCTGGTTCTTTCTATGGCTAACTTCAGAATTATAACCATCGCACCTTCTGTACACTTCACTGACTCTTTGTAACATCTGTCTTCTTATGCTAGAAGGGAAACTGCATGTTAGGCTCATCGTACCACAGTGCACAGAAGAGTGCCTGACACATCACAGGGGATCAATAAATTCATCATGAGTGAATTAATTAACCATCTCTAACATCACATATTATTATAAAATCACATTGTTATTACACAACTGTCTAGAATAAACCTGAAAACTACAGAGTTAAGACAGTCCTTGTTCCTAGTTTCTGTCATAGCATACCTTTAAGAAACAAATGAAAAACATTAAAGGCAGAAATACAGAAAAATAACTTGGGCAAAATGTGGCTTCATGAAGCATTAGGACTTTAGAAGAAAAAAGAGATTATTCTGGCTTGCAGTGGCAATAAAAAATTGTATGGTTAAGCATAAAGATATTTAAAACATGGAGACACTTAACAAAGGAGTAGAGCAGCATGTTCAATGGAGAGAATAGCATCAGGTTAAGAGATAGGCAGGAGGAGGTCAGTCTCCACTGAAATGAGAGAAATTGCTGTTGCAACGGAGAAGGATGGAGTAGAATTCGGGCCTCTTTGCTTAGAAGCCTGCAACAATCCAAGGGAAAGAGCCAGACGAGGACGGAGCCTCCCTGCTCCTCTGTGTGGATAAAGGAACACTGGGAGCATCACATGTGGCGTCTGCTGCTGCGGTCTAGGGTGGGCGATGACTGCTGCAAACTCTAGGACAGAGAATTGAGGGAGAGGTGTGAGGGTCTCCAAACAGGGCAACTCGCTCAGCCTTGGATGAGATCCAGAACTGTTCCCCAGGATGCAGGTACAGTCTAGGTTCACTGATGATGTACAAGAGATTTTCTACCTTGAGCCACTCACACGGTAGGACAATGAAAGAGTAAGTCAGATGCCTCATCCCTATAAATGTAATTATGCAAGGGTATAGCAGCCACGTCTCTGTAGGAGGATAAAAGCCTAACTCCAATAAGCACAAATTAGCCAACACAGATGGCCCAATCCCACCGGGCAACTTCCCTCCTAGCGACCTGCAGAACCATCCCGCTAGCTCCCCGCAGGGCTGAAATTCTCCTGCCTCTGGCTTTAGGAGGGTGTAGGGCAACCGCTTTCCCTATTGCAACATTTTGACTTCTATTGCAACGGTCTTCAATAAATGCTTCCTTGCATTTCTGAAACATCCACGTGAAATTTTATTTTACAATGAAAGACACAGGCTATTTTTTCTGTTTCTCTGTTTGATTTTTCTGAACTCTGCTTACAAGAAAAAACAGAATGTAACGGATGGAAAAAGGATATGTTCCCTTTTCTGAATATGTGTATTTTTTTCTTTGCTGCTGAAAGCCAAATAGCTCATTAAGAATCCTGGAAAAAGAGTTCACTCTGATATTACCTGACAGGTCACCCTCCCAATCTCTCACTACTTTTACCTTTGAATAACAGCAACCCTCAGTAATCTTTGTTCCAACAATCTTTGTTTCACCCACTAGACACCCACTAATTCTGCCAGGGCCTGGAATTCCTCTAGCTCTGAACATCAACCAAGAAGCTCCCCATCCCTGATCTCATTCGCTGTCCTTCCAGCCTCTCATGTAGCCGTCCCTCCCTCACTGCTGATCAGCCTCGATAAGGCTGTTCTCGGCTGGGCACAATGGCTCATGCCTGTAATCCCAGCACTTTGGGAGGCCAAGGCGGGTGGATCACCTGAGGTCAGGAGTTGAAGACAAGATTGGCCAACAGGGTGAAACCTCATCTCTACTTAAAAAAAAAAAAAAAATATTAGCCAGGCATGGTGGCAGGAGCCTGTAATCCCAGCTACTTGGGAGGCTGAGGCATGAGAATGGCTTGAACCTAGGAGACAGAGGTTGCAGTAAGCCGAGATCACACCTTTGCACTTTAGCCTGGGCGACAGAGCAAGACACCGTCGAAAAAAAAAAAGGCTGTTCTCCCACGGGGCTGTGCATCAAATATTTTACCCGGGAGCCTGATGCCCAGGCTGCACCCGGCACACTGGTCCTCTGCTCTCATCTCCTGTCCTTGTGCACTGCACTGTGTTTGCATCAGGTTCTCTGAGTTTGGTAGTTTGGATGTTTTTCAGTCATCTTAGTTGGGTCTTGAATTCAAATGTCAGAAACCACAATGAGCTAAGTTAACATTTTGACTCCTGTATCTTGAAATAGTCCACAGATTACCTCAAGGCCTCTAGTCAACAGCACAGCCATTGTGGAGAAGACACCAGCCCTTGAGCCAGGTGGACAGAGACCCAAGGTAGCCACCGAAACAAGACACACAGACCTCACACCCAGCTTAACTCCTGCATGCCTCCCATCTGAAGTCCCCCTTTTTAAACTCTTGCCTTCTCCCCAAAACCTTGAAATGGTTGCTTTGATATGAATCCAGCCATTTCCCCCTTAGTAGTTTTGGTTAATAAAGTCACTCTCTTTCTACCACACCTCCGTCCAGTTATCACTGCTGCAAGTGGCGAGCCGCGGGACCTGTGTTCAGTGACATGTCCTCACAAGGTGGAAGGAATGACGAGGTGCTCTGGGGTCGCTTCTACAAGGGCATGAATCCCATTCAGGAGGACCGTGCCCTCCTGACCTGATCACTGGATAAAGCCCACACCTCTTGATGCTATCACCTTGGGGTTTAAGATGTAAACATACGGATTTCAGAGGGACGAAAATATTCAGGCCACAGCACCATCCCATACTGAAGAAGTGAAAGATGTCAGTTAATTAGTATCTGATCCCAGAAAAGAACATAGCACTAAGTCAGGATTATTTTACTTGTCAAAATATCACCCAGACTAGATTCAAGAGTAGAGGAGATAAATCTTCCTGTCTTTGGGAAGAGCCACGGATGTAGGATGTAGGGGCCATATTTTTAAAGCTGCTCAATGGACTTATTCTCTCATAGTGTATAGTAAAATGCAACAACACCAGACACACAGACAGCCTGAGAGGAGCTGGGAAAGACATTCAAAGGGCAGGGACTCGGACCTCCTGCCTGTGGCAGCTGGATCTGCAGGTCCAGGAGTTGCTGTGTGGCACAGGCAGCACCAGGACCCTCCCTGCAGGACAGTGGACAAAGGACTGAGGGGAGGGACAGGGCAGCGCACTCTGAAGAGCTGGGAGGTGGCCAGTCCTCAGAGCTCACTCCCATGCAGCCCCTGCCCTGCCCCATGCTAACGTGCACCCTGTGTTCCACGACTGCCCTTCCCTACCAGGTCAAAACCACGTACCAGAACCCTGACCAAGGTCCACACACCCTGTGTCTGCTGGGGCCCCTGGACACCCTCAGCATGTGTGGGAATATACTTGCTGCTCCTGGAGGCCTCTCTCCTCTCACACCCACACCTGCACCCCCACTCACAGCTTCCCCAGAACATGGTGTCAAGGTTCTGATGGTGTTCAGGTTGATGGTGTCAAGGCTCTTATTAAGTGTCCAGACTTGCTTAAATATTCCCTGGAAATTCAAGAGCATGTGGATGAGAGAAGAGTTTCAGCCACGTCTACTCTGCCTGGGAGTCAACACTGGTGAAAAGAATGGGAAACTCAGGCTGGGGAGATCATGTATGGACACAGAAGCAAAAGTGTTGAAAAGATTTTTAGACAAAACACTTTTTTTTTGCTTAAACCCAGAGTTCTGCCAAGGTTCTGATGCAGCCCAGAAAGAAAAGTGAAAGAGACCACAGGAGATGAGTCCCTCTCTTCTAATTTGGGTTGGAGTTTGAGAGTCACGTGGGCGAGGAGGAGGTAAAGCACAGGTGCAACCTCAGCACAGACTGAGAACCTGATGGGCCCTGGGCTGCCAAGTCCGCCCCTGCCATGGAGTAGCGCCCCCCAGCCAGCAGTTACCACCCCTCCAGTCGTGCATGGGAGGGAATGACCTCAGGACACTGGGCTGGGGATGGAAAAGGCAGAACCAGCAGCCACCACTGACTCGGGCCACCTGCAGCGCATCTGTTCTCTTTGACCTCCTGAAACCACTCCGGGTGCTGCTGGTGAGGCCGCCACGTGGGCCAGGCCACACTCCTGCTGCAGGACTGCTGCACCTGCTCCCCCTTTTCCTGGACCCATCCAGGTTTCTACAGGACTCCCCCAGCCCCTCCTGGCCTCTGTTCTGACGCTCTCTCCACAATGAGACTGCCATGGTGACACTACTGAGCAGCACTCTGCCCCCAACACTGCGTCACCTGGGCACTCCAGGTCACCTCAATGTTATCCTTTTACTGTGTGTAATAACCACTGGCTGCATAGTGTATCATATCCATCATAACTTTGCTTATTGTTTGTCTTCTCCGCTAAAATATAAGACGGAAACAGTGCTTGCCACTCTCTGGTGCTGGAATACAACTAGAGCAGCCACCAGATTGTCCTCCAGGACCATCAAGGTCCTGATCCCAAATACAGTCCAGTTAACAGAGGGCATGCAAAGGCCCAGGGCACAACATTTTGCAGCAGGAGACTTGGCCAATGCATTCTGCTCATTCCCATCACAGAGGGGTCGCAGTCTGTGTTAGCTTTGACTTTAGAAGGGACCCGGTACACATTTACCAAATTGCACTCAGGCTGTCTCAGTAAGCCAGCTACTGCCCATAACTCGTGCCCCCAGGACTACCTATGATTCAGCGTGAACTCCTGTACCCTGTGGCACTACATTGATAGCATTTTGCTCAGAAGCCCCTAGAAGAAGGAAGTGAAAACCATGCTGGTCATTTTAGTGGCTTCCTCCAAGACCATGGCTGGGCCACAACCCACACAAAGTTCAGGCCCAGCGCTGCTGTAAAGATTCTAGAAATCACCTGGTTCTCAGTGGGCCACCAAATTCCCCTTGCAGTTAAAACCCAAGTCTTCACTATTAGGGTGCCAGCCACTTTGTGGCAGGCCCTGCACATACTGGGACATTCTGCCTGCACCTACACCCCACTTGTCCATTCTGCTGAGGCCCACAGATGCCGTCACGCAGAAGCCCTCCACGTCTTGCTGGGGCCACAGCAGGATACAGCATGCAGCTGGCTCAGCAAGTGGTCTCCCAGGGCGTGCCCAGGTCCCGGGTTCTGAGTTTCACATAGAGGCCCTCAGTACCACCAACCATGACTCCCAGAGCCTCTGGACAAAGCACACCTGTCCTGGCTATGGGCTTCTGCAGGCATAAACTTCCTGGCAGCTGCAGCTCAATATCCCCAGTTAAAAAGGTGGCTACTACTACACACAACGCCCGTATAGACACAGGCACTACGGGACAGGTTCTGGTGCTGTTGTGTCCCCAGACTCCAGTCATGCCCCATGTCTGATTCCTCCTGACAGTGGCTACTCATGTCTCCCTGGGAAAATGGGAACAGCACCCGCAGGACAGGCCAAACCTGGCACCTGGGTCCTTTCAAGTGATAGAAAGCTGAGGCCATGGTTTCCCTAACTCAGCTCCCGCCTACAAGCAGAGAGAAATAGCAGCAGCGACTCTATTGCCCGAACAATTGGTGACCTGATGAGGCCATGGGAAGAGTTGGACATGGCGAGTCCACATACCTCAGGGAAGGCAGTGCTGCCCTGCAGGCCGGGGGCCGGCTGGCCAGCAACCACCTCCCACATTTATCACAGCAAGGCCTACATAGGAGGGGAGGGTGTGCTGAGCCCAGTCATAGAGCTGGCGGTGCCAGTTGCAGGGGAGGTTGCTGTGGCCATAACCCCACCAAGGGTCATGTTTTTACAGATTTCTGGGCTGTGCCCAATGTATTGTGAGTGCCCTGGAGCCAATGCCTCTGGAATGGCCTCTGTAGCGTGCACCTGTTTGGGTCAAATTAGGGGAGGCCTCCTACAGGCGATTCATGCCTCGTGCATTCAGAACCAACATGCCCAGGCTATTTTTCACGACTCAAAGGGTGAGGCATCCACAGTGAGACTACTGCTATCTTTGGCCTCCACACTGAGCCTGCTGACAGCCCCTAATGTCCTGTCCCAGGAGGTTAGGGGTCAGATGCACCTCTCAGGACCTGGGTGAGATCCTCTTTTTTTTACAAGCTACCGGCCCCTATGCAGCCAACACCACCTGTCAGCCAGCATGTGACTTCTCCAAGATTCCCTTTACCACCCACTGTTGACCTTGGTGCTCAATTTCTCCTGCTTTCTCTGTGTTCCCAGGCTCAACAAGGGGCTTGGTCTGTTCTTGCAGATTAGTATTCTGCCAGTGAACAGAACTTCGTGTTGGGAACTGCGTCATCGGTGGTATCAGCTTCACATACTGCTGCTCGCTTGTAGATTAATGTTCTACTGTCCAAGAGAATGTCATGGGGGGAAAGTCATCATCAGTGGTGTGAGCTTCACATGCTTCTGCAGCTGAGCTTGCAGAACAGAGAAAAATAAGTTCATAATTTGCTTTGAGAGCTACAGGAAATGGTTGTTTCTCCTATACTTTGTCCTTAACATCTTTCTCGATCCTAAATAAATATCTTGTAACAAGATTTCTTTGTTTACACCCTCTTTAAAGTTTGAAATGTGTGTGTGTCAAGACACTAGAAAGCAACTGCCAGGATCCTACATTAAGATTTTGAACAAATTAAAGTTCCAAAATCTAGAATTTTTAAGGAGCCATGGCTTCAGACACAAATTGAAACGAAGGCACAAATGATGCTGCTGATCTCACCATCCACTGCTCTGTCTTTCTACTCTGCCTCATTTTGAATGGATTCACTCTCAAAGACCAGTCTTATATGCTAGGCAAAAGAAACAATGTCAGCTTCCAGTTTAGCTACTCACAACCTCACTATTTCTCGGGAAAAACCACCATCCTCTGTGTCAAAATATTGGAGTTTTATTGAACGTGTCCAGGTCACACATTTGCCTTTTAAGGCACAGGGTTACAGGAGATCCACTGAAACAACTTTAATTAAGAGGGAAATGAGTTGTTGGCAAAGGCAGGATGCATGGAACAGAAAGCACGGCAGCCCACACCAGGATGTCCTTATTTAGAGCACCCTCCAGCCACGTCTACTAAGACCTGGATTTCACTCCCATAAAGTCGTCTTCACACCCAGAAAACCCACACGCACAAATGTTCCACTGCACTTTGCAACGTGCACTCTCTTGGATTGCCTGAAAGCTGCTGAGAACCTGATTCTTCTTGGAAAATACAGCTTCAAAGGGACAATGGGAAAAATGAAGAAAGGAAAAACATTTCATCAGAAACCTTCCGTTCTTGTTGTTGCTGCAGGGCGCTGAGGCTCTGATAACCAAAACATCCTGCACATCAGTGAGAGAGCAAGAAACCAGGTCTGGGGAAAGGGAATGGACCAGGAGCGCCCTCTGAGACGCTCAGAGCATTTGCCGGGAAGGCCACAGCGCCCCCTGCTGTCCTGTCTCCAACTGCAGCCTCCCCACCAGGCCCAGCACATGTGGGGTCTGTACCTTCCTGAGCCTGTCTTCCTCCTCCCCTCCAAGAGGACAGGGTACCTGCCTAACCCTGAGAGCCAGGGTGTCCCTGAGAGTCAGGCTGACATCTTGCTGGGGTGTGATGTGACCCTTCCTCCTGTCTCTCCTCTCTGTCCCTCCCCGAGAAACCCACTGTAGCTTTAACAATAGTTGAGGATGTCTTGCCAACGGCCTATGAGGACATGACCACAAAGCCCCAAGGACAAGTCCAGCTTGAGCCACAGATTTCTTATATTTTGGATCTAGCAGTTCCAGTTTATGAATTTGCTACACATGCTGGAAAAAAATAACATGTCTGTTCAAGCCATGGTGCCTCTTATCTGGAGGGTCATTCATAGAATGCCCCCAAGACTTCCAAGAGTGACAGAGAAACTACAGTTTGCAAAGAAAGGGACAGTGGTTCTAGTAAGATTATTCCCCATTCTTTGTGATCGACAAAGAAAAGGTCCAAAGTCTTCCCCTTGTATCAAAGGTGAAGGTGACATTTTGGGTTTCAAGATGTGAAAGGCAGACAGTCTTCCTTGCATTCCTGTAACTGCCACTGACTTGAAGTCACGCGGTTCTTGCTGTAACTCTGCATATTCCTGCTAACAGTCCACTGAGTCGGGCTGACTCCATCACGCGGTTTCTGTACTTCACCCAAAAGTCCACCTGGCTTGCGCCCTAGATCCTGGGGTCTCTGCTAGAACTTCCCTTCATCACTAAGGGCTTTGCTGATTTCTTAATTTTAAATTGCAACTAGTTCCCCTAACGACCTCTATCCCCCTCTTCTCTTTATTTTTAACTGTAGAATTGTAAGCTATCTCACATTCTGTGCATTTCATTTACTCTCTGGAACATTGGTCTCCCAACACTGGGAGGGAAGCTGCATGTTTTCCTCATCATCTTACCACAGTGCATAGCTGACCACCTAATACATTGTACATGATCAGTAAATTAATTTCAAATAAATTAATTAATTGTACTCAAAATTTATATTGATACAAATGTGCATTGTTGTTCCTAAACAGCTTACAAAAAAAAATACTGAAGCCTACAGAGGTAAAGCAGCCTGTGTGTCTAGTCCATGTGACAGCATTCCTTAAAAAAGCTAATTAAAACTAATTTAAAAGATTAAAATGTAGGAGATTATGATGGGTAAAATGTGGTTTAATGAAGCATTAGGACTTTTGGAAGAAGGAAAAGACCATTCTGTCTTGGAATGCCAAGGATAGATTTCATGGTGAATCTTAAACTGAAACATAAAGATGTTCAAACTTTCAATAGATTAAAAGAATGATTAGAGCAGAAATTTAGGTAGAGAACATAGAATCAGAGCAAGAGCTATGCAGGAGGAGGTCAACCTCCATTGAATTAAGAGGAATTGCTATTGGCAACAGAGAAGGTTGGAGGAGAATTCAGGCTGATGTGCTGAGAAGCATCCATCAATCCAACGGAAAGGGCCAGACGAGGATGGAGCCACCCTGTTCCTCTGTTGGATAAAGGCACACTGGGAGCACCACACGTGGCTTCTGCTCCTGTGGTGTAGGGTGGGCAATGACTGCTGCAAACTCTGGGACAGAGAATTCAGGGAGAGGAGTGAGGGTCTCCAAACAACCAGGGCAACTTGCTCGGCCTCAAGTGAGACCCAAAAACGTTCATTTGGATGCACTCTATGTTTACTGATGACGTACAAGACATTGTCTACCTTAAATCACTTGAGTGATAGAACAGTAAAGAGTAAGTCAGATGCCTCATCCCTATAAATGTAATTACCCATGGGGATAGCAGCCTTG